GGGAACTGGGAAGGAAGATGGGGATGGAGATGAATACCCGGGCAACGGAAAAGGGCTATAATCACGAAGGCTCTGGAGTGAGGTGTTGTACAGTCTGGAGACCTCAGTGGGGTGGGGGTGGAAGCTAAAAGCATAAGGCTAAAACACTCCTGGGGGCCTATAACCTGCAGTCCCTACCCCCAAGACCAGCTCTGATCCTGTGAGTTCTGGCTGCACCCACTCTGTCCAAATCCTTAGTCTAGGGATTTTTATCTCCATCTCTTTTTCTTGTTGTTCTCCCCCATGTCCTGAATTTCCCTCCTTAGTCTTTCCCCTCCCCCATTCTTAATGTTGTGCTCATGGGGTGGAAGAATTGAGCAGATCTGGGGGGACTGAGCTGGCCAGCCAGAGGAAGAAATAGATCCTGAAGCTCCCTAATGAGATTACCAAGGTTTAGCTTCCCTATAATCCCCCCTCCTCCCAAGGAGCACAGCCAGACACAGCTAACTGGACAGCTCCTAGCTGACTGCACTGGGTCTTGGCCACCTGTGCTCTCCCTCCATGGTTACTGGGTACCCCCTCCCTAGTGCTGAGTACCCAGACCTCCGAAAGCACAACAACTGCATGGCCAGTCACCTGACCCCAGCAGTCTATGCCCGGCTCTGCGACAAGACCACACCCACTGGTTGGACGCTAGATCAGTGTATCCAGACTGGCGTGGACAACCCCGGCCACCCTTTCATCAAGACTGTGGGCATGGTAGCTGGAGATGAGGAGACCTATGAGGTAGGGGGCCCCCAGAGTTTTCCTGGTGATACAACTCATCTTCCCAGTAATTCCAGCTCCTTCCCCCTAAAAACCTCTCACTTACCCTTGAAACCAAACCATCTATACATATGTTTTCTGACCCTGTGAAACCAATCCACATTTAAAACCTGAGAGGGATGGCCTCATCCTTAACCATTCTCTCCCTCTTAATTCCCCCTCAGGTATTTGCTGAGCTGTTTGACCCTGTTATCCAAGAGCGACACAATGGATATGACCCCCGGGCAATGAAACACACCACTGACCTGGATGCCAGCAAGGTAGGTCAAATATTCCACTTCTAATTTGCATTGCCTTACGTACAACATTCTGTTTCTCCAATCCTTAATCATTTCTTGACTCATGGTCATTATACTGCCGAGATTTTAGTCTTGGTGTGGAGAAAGAATTGTGTTTTAAGCAGCAGATATGGAGAGGAGAGGGTGGGTGAGAATGTCCATACTGCAAGGTGGGCAGTTTGGGGGAGGGATCATAATGCCCTCTTGCCCAGTGGGCTTCTCCTTCCAATGCATGCAATGAGGACTCCTCTAGGCCTTAAAGCCTTTCCTTCCTCAAGGCCCTCTGTTCCCACCCACTGTGTTTCTGTGACTTATGTTAATTTCTCTTATTCCACAGATTCGTTCTGGCTACTTTGATGAGAGGTATGTATTGTCCTCAAGAGTCAGAACTGGCCGAAGTATCCGGGGACTCAGTTTGCCTCCAGCTTGCACTCGGGCAGAGCGGCGAGAGGTGGAACGTGTTGTGGTGGACGCACTAAGTGGCCTGAAGGGTGACCTGGCTGGTCGTTACTATCGACTCAGTGAAATGACAGAGGCTGAACAGCAGCAGCTTATTGATGTGAGGGGCCTTGAGAGGGAGCTGGGTGCAGGGAGCAGATGGAAAGAGTCAGAGGACAGACTGGGCCAGGTGGATTTTGAGAGGCCTAGGAACTACTGTGAGAATTCTTATCAAAGTTCCTTTACTCTCCCCAGGACCACTTCCTATTTGATAAGCCTGTATCTCCCTTGCTGACTGCTGCAGGAATGGCTCGAGACTGGCCAGATGCTCGTGGGATCTGGTATGAGGCTTACTTTACCTCTTTTGCCCCATATCCCCATAAGGGACTTTTCCCCGTTTATCTCCCCCAATTCTCTCCCCGCCTATTGATCCCTGTCCTTCCCTCTCCCTTGCCCTCAGGCACAATAATGAGAAGAGCTTCTTGATCTGGGTGAATGAGGAGGATCATACACGGGTCATTTCCATGGAGAAGGGTGGCAATATGAAGAAAGTGTTTGAAAGATTCTGCCGCGGCCTCAAAGAGGTTGGAGAAGAGTGTATAAGGGAACGAAGTGGGGGGACATAAGAAAAAAACACACAAATGCTAGCACATGTAGAGTGACCATATAATTTATCAACCATCCTAGGACACTCTTGATAGTGAAAGATCACCATCAATCACTCCAGGACAAGTGGTATAAATCAGGACTGTCCAGGGGAAACTAGGATATATGGTCACCCTAAGACTAGGAAGAGAGGGTGTCAGGAATCTAAGGAAAGAAATAAAGCAGTTGTCAGATAATCTGAAGGAGTAACAGATGGTGGGTCAGTGCCTGGGGTGTGTGGTGTGGGATGGTGGGGGTGGGATGTGCAGATAAGGGAAAGGTTTGAGCCTGGATTGACATAAGGAGCGAAAGGTCGGCGTATTCATGATTCCAATGTAACCACCCAGTTCTGAGCTGAGGTAGGCCTGGACTTTGGATTCTGTCATTCTTGCTAAAGTATCGTGTCTAAGTTTTAAACTGAGAGCAAGAAGGAGATGGAGAGAAGGTGGAGGACCAATTGGCTTAAGAAGTTCCAGAATAGGTGGCTCTTCATGAAAGGTTGAACTGAATCCTCCATCCTATATGGATTGGGCTTCCGTATTCAATTCTAAGGTAGAGACTCCCATAAACCCACCTCTTATTGTATGTTCTCCTACATACAGTTCTATTTTGGACTTATACACAGACCTCTTCCTTTTAGATTCTAGCTGGGAAATTTCTACTGTTTTTGCCAAGTAATAGATAACATATTCTGACTGGAAGTGGGTAGGGAAATGCTTTTTAAATTATATGTCTTAGTTTCCTCATTGATAAAATTGGGATAATAAGACTTCCTACATTTTAGGTTGTTGTGGGGATTATATGAGACAATGCATGTAAAGTGCCTGGCCCATAATCAATGTTCAATAAGGTTTAGCTGCTGTTATTATTCTAGATGGATATTCTAAAATATCCCCCTATGCCAGGATTCTTTCGGAATGATGAGCTGGGTCCCCTTTACTCTTGTTAGGTAGTGGTCTTAATGTCCATCACTCCAGCAGATCCCCTGTCTCTTCAACTCTCATTCATGGCTAGGATACTTAAGTGAAACAAAAACACCCTTCTAACACTCCCCCCAACACCCCCGGCACACACACATACCTATGAGTCTGGCCCTTCTACACTTTTTCTCTGCTTTCTGTTAACTCCTTCCACAGTTAACAGAAGGCTCTCTTGCCTCTTCCTGTTGCAAAGCCTACATCCTCCTTTTCCGTATGAAAGAAGCCTCCCAAGCTCCAGGCCAATTAGCAAAACAAAGATAATCAATGCACATGGAGCTCATTGAATAACCAATCCTTTCTCAGTCCAGTTCAACACCTCTGCTGTTTCCCTAGAGCATCCTTAAAGCATCATTCCCTCAAGTTTCTCTTCTTCCACACAAGATATTTTTCTGCAATCTCATTATGGGCTTACCTTGTGTGCAAAATAATAACAAACCATTTCCACAAAACACACACACAAACACAAAACCTGAGCAGTGTCATTCTTTCACATCCCAAGTTTCTGGTTCCAGACATATTTCTAGAGTTCCTGTGGGTCTAGCTAAGGAAGGATCCACATATTCATGACTTTTCACTAACAGAGCCTTTGTGAACTCAGGTGGAAAGGCTGATCCAGGAGCGTGGCTGGGAGTTCATGTGGAATGAGCGTTTGGGATACATCTTGACCTGTCCATCTAACCTGGGCACTGGACTACGAGCAGGAGTACACATCAAACTGCCCCTGCTAAGCAAAGTAAAGGAGTTGTGGGGTTAGAGAGGGGTGTGAGGGAGGAAGGTGGCTGTGTGTGGATGGAGGAGTGGGCACTTTGGAAAGGAGCCAGACATATTGTGGCTAAAGGATCTAGGAAAGACTCTGAGCAGGTTCAGGGCCCTCTCAGGTAGAACCAGTCTCTGCCCCTATTGACCCTGCTCCCAATCCTTATCTCCCCTCTAGGATAGCCGCTTCCCAAAGATCCTGGAGAACCTAAGACTCCAAAAGCGTGGTACTGGAGGAGTGGACACAGCTGCCACAGGCAGCATCTTTGACATCTCTAATTTGGACCGACTGGGCAAGTCAGAGGTGAGATCTTCAGGGATTAGAGTGAAGAGAGGTATAGATCTGTGGGTGCTGAGATTTGACAGTGAGTGGGACTCAAGAGTGTAATAGAATCTAAAATAAAATTCAGGTTGAGTGGGAAGGCAATTGGAAATGAGTTCTCAAAACAGGCAAATCAGTGCTAAAGAAAGAAACTCAGGTGGTGGGGATCAGAGATTAAGGGTTAGTGTCCTTTAGGTGGAGCTGGTGCAACTGGTCATCGATGGAGTAAACTATTTGATTGACTGTGAACGGCGTCTGGAGAGAGGCCAGGATATCCGCATCCCTCCACCTCTCATCCACAACAAGCATTAACTCCCCATCCTCAGCAGATGACTCAAGATCTCCAGGACTTCTGCCCATTCTAATGGTGGTCCATTCTACCTGCCCTGGATGTCCCCCACCTCCCAGTAAAGACACCTTGCTATGCTCTAGCTGTCTGTGTTATTTCTAATGATGGGGTAAGGAGGGAGCAGCCTCCATGAAAGGAAAAGAGGCAATGGGGTTATTTATGATGGAGAAAGACTCCAGACATGGCATGCTAGGAACACTGATTCTCAGCCAGGTGGAAAGCATTAGCATTTTACCCACATTCCCTATCAGCTTCCTGAAAGTAATTAGAATATACTTCCATTTTTCACTTTATTCACTATGACTTAAGGTTTCTTTCCCAATAGTCACTCTTTAACTGTAGAGACAGGCTCATAGCAGGTTGCCAAGGAAGCAGATGGCTAATGCCAGGACCAAGGAGGGTTGTGACCAGTTCTGGAGGCTCCAGGCTGTGCTTCGACCTATAATGAGACAGAGAATGGAAGGAATGTCACAACTATGCTCTCTGGGAGCCATTGATACTTAGAAATCGTCTGTCTTTATACCCCTTCACTCCAGGGATCTCTTTGGGTTGGTTCTAAGAGTCAGATAGCACCAAACTGGGGGTCAGATTTTGGGTCAGGAGGTGAAGGGTCAAGCTGTGTAGTTGGGAACTCACTCAGCTGTTCTGGGCTCTCCATCCCCTCATGCTGGGCCCATGCAACTGCCCGTCGCTGCTCAGGACTCAGAAAGGCCATTTGCTCAGGAGTGACAGCCACAGCCTGAACACTGGTGAGACTAGATAGCTGGATGGGGCTGAACACCACCTGGGGTTGGAGGCAGGAGTCAGTACATCCAATGTAGCCCCTGTTGGGCTCTGTTTCTCTTGTGGTCATCCCAGACCCCAGTCCATCAATACTTACAGCAAATTTAGGAGCAGGGATGACAGAAATGGCAAGAGGGGTAAGACCCTGAATCTGTTCCCGCAGCAGTGCTGAAAGAGCCAGGTCTGGGATCCCAGCTGTTGAAGCATGTGGGATAGGCATCCAAAAGTTGCCTTAGACTGGCCTCTTCCCTCTTCTTCAAACCTATAGACCTCTTCCAACCATAGACCTTCCCCAACACGTCTCTAACTCTTACCTAAATGCCCTCCCAGACTCACACCTTGAGAATTCCAGAGCAGCCCTCCACCCAGTTCTTCCATAGTATGGAAACCAACACCTGACAATTAGCACCAGCAGTGGCCCAGCCTCTCTACCTGCTATTGTACCAATTTCAGTGAAGATCTCAGGCCCCCAATTACTGACTGGACCAAAACCACCAGGCAGCACAAGGAGTTGGGCCAGAACCTCCATTTGATCCTCAGAGCACTGGAGATGCAGGTTACCCAGGAAGAGAGCTGCTTGGCTGTGGAAGAGGGAGGAGAAGGGAGAAGGCTTCAGCTATGGTGCATGGGTCCATAGTCATAAGATGGGGGTAGAGATGGTTTCAGGTGAGGTCCTTCCCTCCATGGGACCACTTCTTCATGATCCTTCCCCCCCAGCAAGCCCACCTTTACCGCAGCATCACCACCCACATCCCTCCCTCCACAGGTGACCTAAATTCCCAACTGTTGATATGCTGTAGCTCCTCTGGCCGCAGTCCACAGAGTGTGTAACCCAGTGCAGTCAGGTGAAGGAAGTCCAGGTGGCTCACATGCCGGCCACTCTGCCGCAGGAAACTGGAGATCACAACCCGGAGCTGGGGTGGGGATGGAGGGCACAGGATAAGGAGACAATTAATGGATAGGGAAGTGATTAGGGAAGCGACAAGTGCTGCTAGATTATATTCTTTTATTATTAAGACCTGAAGATCCAACAGCCATGGGGAAGGTTGAGGACCCAAAAAAGAGGGAAAAGAGGCAGGAGGGAGGGAGTACTATGTGTCCAGGACCACAGAGTAAATAAATCACAGAATTTCCAAGGCTGCTAGTATGGGGTATTAAGAAAAGATAGAAAGAGTGGCCATTCAGAGTCACAGGAAAAAAATTCTTGGGCTTTAGGTGACCTAGAGACCTGGACCTGTGGGATGGATGCTTGGAAGGTGGTAGGGAGGAGGGAAGGTATTACCTGGACAGAGCTCCAGCCATCTATCTGCCCCAGGGTGCTCAGCACTCCCCAGTCCACCAAGATTAGCTCCTGTAGTTCCCGCTCTCCTAGACCTATTAAGAGCCGACCTAGCTGCAGGATCTGCTCAGGACGAAATCCTCGTGGCGGACCCCACAACTACGGAGGAAGAGAGGAACAATGTGAGTGGGTAGAGCAAAGGACTATGAGTCAGAATGCTGGGTCTTAGTCTTGCCTCTGACCTTAGCTGTGTAATTTGAAGCAAATCATATGCCATCTCTGGGTCTTAGTTTCCTCAACTATAAAATGAAAGGGTTGGAATAAAGTTCTTTTGACTAAGCTGTTATTGGAAGATTCTAGAGTCTCAGTAGGAAAATAGCAGACTCTAGTCCATTAGTTCTAAACTATTATGTGCACCAGACTCACCAGGGATCCTTTCAAAATGCAGATGCTCAGACTCCATCCTCAGAGAGTCTTCTTCAGTGAGTTTAGCATGGGATCCTGGCATCAGCATTTCAAACACCTGCTCGCCAGATGATTTTGCTACACACTAAAGTTTGGTAACCACTGCTCTAGTCCCTCTACCCACTGGACTAGCTTTCTTGCCTCAATATTCATCCCCTCTGACTTCTTATTCAGGAGCCAAACCCTCTTTTTTTTTCTTCACAAAACAAAATTGTTTTTCAATTACAGTTGACATACAATATTATATTCATTTCACATGTACAACATAGTGATTAAACATTTATATAACTTAGAAAGTGATCACTCAGTTAAGTCTGGTACCCATTTGACACCATACATAGTTATTACAATATTATTGACTATCTTCCCTATACTGTACTTTACATCCCTGTGACTATTTCTATAACTGGCAATTTGTATTCTTAATCCCTTCACCTTTTTCACCTGTCTTCCTAACCACTCCCCCATCTGGGGACCATCAGTTTGCTCTCTGTATCTATGAGTTTGTTTCTGTTTTGTTAGTTCATTTATTTTGTTTTCTAGATTCCACATATAAGTAAAATCATATGGTATTTGTCTTTCTCTGTCTGACTAATTTTACTTGGCATAATACCCTTTAGGTCCATCTATATTGTCACAAATGGCAAGATTTCATTCTTTTATGGCCAAGTAGTATTCCATTGCATACGTGTACCAAACCCTCTAATTCTTTGATCTCCTATTTCCCCACCTCTCACCTAGCTATCCATTCACTTGTGTCCCATGCCACACCCAACCAGCTTTCTCATGTTTTTCCATCTCCAACCCCAGCTGGCCTACCATCCTTAACCTGTTTTGCCTTGCCCATTGCTGCCCGTAGTTCCTCAGGTCCAAGTCCTGGGTCTCCTGCAAATAGTGCCAGGCAGTCCTCAAAGTCGGAGAGCTCCATCTCTGCAATCTGAGTTGCAGACCAGGCTGCTGGAAACGTCCCCCGCACATCGGCACAATTTGGCACAGGTTCTGAAGGGGGAAGGCAGGACCAGGGTCAGTGTAGTATTAAAGTATGATACTATACTTAGAAAGATATCTATAGATGGAATGACCCCTCCAACCTTTGGAGGACAGGTCAATGTGAGGACAGGTCAGTATGGGTCAAGGGATTACTATAGTGAGAGATTTATAGGACGCATAGGATATTAGATAGAACAAGTGGCTGGAGGGAACAATCCCCACATTGTATAGATGGAAGACTGAGGGGATTGCCTAGGGGTTCAATGGCAGATCTAAATTAGAACCCAGGTCCCTAACCCCACAGTGTCTCTTTCCTACATCCTAAGCATCTTCCCAGTAGAGAGCTCCACCACACTTAGCCAAGCCTAGAGCTGAATCAGCTATTAACAGGGATAAGAAAGCAGGAAAAGGGAGTCCTGGGCTAAAAATGTAATGAGTTATAATTACCCAGAGCTATAGTGCTAAAACTAGGAGAGACCTTGAAGATCAGCCTTTTAACCCCTGAGCTTTATATATTAGGAATCTCAAGCCCAGAGAGCAGAAGGTGTACAAATCTGTTCAAAGGGCAGAGCACACCTAGAGCCCCGACTTCTGATCGCACTGTCGCATACTCTTTCCTATTCACCCTACTAGAGGTATGAGCATTTGGGTGGTTTTACCTGGGAGATAGTCTGCAGGGGGCTGTACAACCCCAGCTACCAGAGCTGCTTTCTTGGGAGCAAGCTGTGGCCCCCCACACAGCTGTCCAGCTCTGCTCTGTTCCCAGCTCTGCTGCTTTTCTAGGAGCCTCTCCAGGGTCTCTGGGCCCAAGGCCTCCTGTGTGAGAAGGTAGAGGGGAGGTGGGGAGACCTGGGCAGGTCAGGGCCAGCTGCTACAGCTCTAATTCCAAAGTCCTATCTCTTTTTAACAGTATCCCCCAAATTGAGGCTTCACAATCTCTGCCCTCAACCTCCTTGGCCTTTACTCCCCAGAACCAGCTCACCAGTCCCCTCTCAGTTCTTACTCCCACCCTTGTTCCTTCACCTCACCCTGGGGATCAAGAAAATCGCCTCAGTAGACAGAGTGAACACCAGGCGTCCAGCTTGCTCTACTTCGTCCTGGCTCCACAGCTCTGGTTTCCTGGGGGACAAGGAGAAGATCAGGGGCTGGGATGCTGAAGGAACAGTGAGGAAAAGGAAGGGGAAAAGAGGACATGCTAGGACTGGGGACTCAGAGCTCCAAGGGACCTCACACATACAGATGGTTGAGAGGCTGGGTTAGAATGTGAAGTTCTCAAATGTCCATACCCAAGAAGAGGCTCCTCCAACAGAAGCCATCCCAGCTCTGTGGCAAACGGCTCTCCCAGGCAGAAGCCTTGCAGCTGACTGAGGTGGGCCAGCAGGATCTGTAGGGGGATCCGTCGTGTGCTCTCTGTCCCCAGGAATCCAACCAAGGGGCCCAATGTCTCCAGCACTTCCCTTGAGACTGTTGTCTCCTTTGGAGCCTGAAGAGGGACATTAGGCCTTGGGACAATGCACCTCTGACTCAGAGGACCAGATTCTTTGATCAAGATACCAAGACCT